CGGTAGTTGTATATCTTGTCGCCCAACGTGGCACTGCGAGTTTCCACCACCCGGATCTTTGGAAGGAAAAGAGAAGGGAACAGATCCCGATGAGAAGCAATCCAGCTTTGTAGCCATGTGCCAAGTAGAGCTTTCCAATTCCGGACATGCAGCGGCGGTAGGAGTAGCTGTGTCAAAGTGGTGGGTGGTTGTAGCCGTCGTTTGCGCAACACCTGGGCGAGGAGTTTCTGCGCCTTGGAGCGGAAGGGCTCGTTGACAAAGACTGCGAGCCGCAGTAAGTAGTACAGCTGAGTGGGAGGGAAAGCTGCCGACAGTAGGTCACGCATGACTTGGAACGATGCTCCTGTATTGGATCCCAGCTGATAGAGAATAGAGTAATGGGCCTGAATGTCATCCAGCATGTCAGGTCGTAGTTGCCGTTGGAGATCCGGATGTAGTCGTCGTCGAAAGCGCTTGTGCAAGCTGAGGGAAGTGGGAGACGACAACGAGTGACGTCGAAAATCCACGAGATGTTCCCGGAAGCCCACCTTTCGCAAGATTCTGTGTACCCAGGGCGCATTCAAATGCGGGCGTAGCAAGTATTGCCATTTACTTTCTTGAACCCAAACCAAGGAAACAGGAAGTTTGATTTCCACCGGAACAGCGCAGAAGAGCCAGTAAGTATTGGATCTCTTCCAGTAGTGAAGCGCTGGTTCGAAGAAGGCATGCCGTCCACGAAGTAGTTGTAGAAATTTGCGACTGCGTGAGTGTTCACGACGTAGAACATCCTGATCAGTCGCCCCAACATAGTAGGGTGTGTGCCATGGCGAAAGTCGAATGTAGACGCACGGTTGTTGATGATGACCTGGATCGTGTATGAAGTCATAGAGGTCAGGAAATCGTGCCCGCAATGAGCGAAGATGTCGCGTGTCAGCAAAAGTGGAGTGCATGATTTCACACAAGAGAGAAGTCTTGTAGAAGTGAAGGACTTCAAAGAACGGCGGAAAGTAGCCATGATCTTGTGAAATGAGACGTTGTAAGGAACTAATCAATAAATAGGCAGTGCACCGGCATCTGTGAAGCTCATACCTGTTGGCCACGGTGTGCTGAGAGTGTGACATAGCGTGGTTCGGAATCTGAAGGGCTATCCGGACCACAACTAAGACTTCGAGGAGACCCAGCCACGGTAATTGTGTGATTGATTCGTACTCCTCAGTTGGAATCGACGGTGGTGGTAGTCCAGGAAAACAGTACTGCCAGCACGTAGAGAACATGGTCAACGAGTGTAAAAGGTCGTCCAGCGACTGCCATTGTGCAACATCATCATAGATTCCGCAGCGGCGAAGCTCATCCAACATGGTGAGATACAACCAATGAAATCTACCACAAGGCGGCGACATGAATACAAGCTGCACAGACAATCACACAAAAGGCAATGCAAGAACGAGCAAGTACAAGATCAAACTGGTGCAACGCAGAAAATTGACGGACGAGTTTTCACCTGGACTCATCCGTGACATTGTTGCCGCTCCGGGCTCATAAGAGAACGAAGGTCATTATGATGCCTTCTCATCCACATAGTAGGCGAGCGGTCACGATGAGGTGACTCAATGCCTTCTCAGTGAGTTTGGTAAGATAGCCGGGCTCCAGTCCCCACGAAGCCGCCATCGCCCCGAGAGTGGGTGCGTCGCCTTTCGGCATGCGTTGACGCGCCTGAAGGAGCTGCGTCGCCATAGAATCTAATGACTTGTTGCCGTTGAGCCGGGACGGGTGATTGGCCCACTTAACCAGCGATGCCAAAGTGGTAGTTGTGGGCGATTGCTTGAGATAAAGGCGAGGTTGGTCACTGGTCCATGTGTAGTACTTGACAACTTCATCCGGCGTGCTGTGCATGGTGAGCAATTGTGACGCCGCCGGCTTGGACGTCGGTGACGACACTCCGTGAAGAGACTGAATGATCCGAGGTTGCACCGCGCTATCAAACGACTTGCCATCAAGGGCCGCTGCGCTGGCTGTAGGAAGGGAGCTGGCAGGTGACGAGGATGGTGTGTGGTTGACCGGTGGCGGTGTAACCAACTCTGCATCATCCTTCTGGCTTGTCATCGTGGGAGAGGTCGAAGCGCGCAGCGATGCGGAATACTGAGCTTGGAGCAGTTCGTGCGCACGATTTAGATCATTGTACTTTTTGACCATGTCATCTGTCTGGGTGGCAGGTGCGAGAGAGGTGTGATGTTGCTGAAGAAATTGAAGTACCAAGCTGGCCAAATGGTCATGAACCTTGATGCGCTGATTGAAGTCATCGATGTTGAGACCCAGCGAGTTGGCAAGGTCCTTTTCCAGGGTGAGCAGGTTGAGTGACTGTGATCTTCGTAGTAGTTTGGAACAGGTACTCCAAAGTAAGGCCTCGGTGCGAGTGCGAAAGCCTTCCCACGTCACGAATCTGCCGTGAGCAAACGGCCTGAGCAGCCAGTTGGTGAGGCCCCCGTGGATAACCTGAACCAGGCGTACGTCCCTAATATCCATGCCTGACATGTCGCGAAGGTTGCCATGCGGAGTGTTGGCAACGGTCATGGGCAGGCTGAAGTTGTAGAGCTGATTGACATCAAACATGCCATCTCCAGGTGTCCAGTCAGGCGAAGGTGTAAGCCAGGCTTTCTGAGGACGAACCGGTAGAGCCGCAGGAGGTCCAGGTGGCGGTGTAGGTTGGGAAGTAGTGACCGGTGGTGGCATCACGGGTGGCATGAACTTGGTTGGCGTGGGGTCTGGAGGGATCGGCATCATGTAGTTGATCGCTGGGTGTTGGAATTGCTGTGTGGGGCTGTGAGTCGATTGAAAGTTGGTAGGCATCATCGGAAAGTTGTTGGCAGAGTTGTAGCCGGAATTGTGTTGCCATGATACCAGGTTGTTCCAATCCATGTTCTCCAAGACCTGGCTGTCATTGTGTTCACGTCGGCGTGCTTTGCGAGCTTGAGGGGAAGGACTCCGATCACGTCTGCGCCGAGTCCTAGATCTATCTCGATCATCACGTCGAGACATGATGGCACAACAAATGCAAAACCGCAACTCCACACTCTTGAGAGGAACAAGTCCGATAAAATGCAAGTCCATGCAAGTTCAAGCCAGCAGCCAGCAGCAGACCGAGTGAGACGTCTCTATGATCTGACGGCTGTCTTCCCTTTAGTGAAACCTCGTTCCTGGTTAAATGTGAAATTCCGCTGTTCTATGATAAGCACGTTGAGGTCAAATTTTCCGACAGAGCCGGCCCGGGGTCACACAATGGGTACACCCGAGGATTCCCCACGAATGGGGTGTACACACTTGAACTCCAGATGGAGAGTGCTAATCTTTTGAGTTTCGAGTACAACTGATAAGTCTCGAGTGCGATAAGTTTCGGCTTGCAATACACTTGGCTTCCCTGTAGCTACTTTAACAGGGGCACAAAGAAGCAACGGCGGTTCAGGGAGGGGACCAAAAGGACATTCACAAACATCACAATTGCAGGTACGTCCAACGGCGTCCCGTTGGATTTCACCAGCAAAGAAGGGCGTCTTCGTTGGCGCAGGTCCCTTCAATGCTGCCCGCGCATCAACAAGGTCCCCTGCTGCAACGGAAAAAGGTTTTGGTGGCAGGGTATTCTGCCACTCCGCACACACACACACACACACACACACACACACACACACACACACACACACACACACACACACACACACACACACACACACACACACACACACACACACACACACACACACACACCCACACACACACTCACACACACACACACACACACACACACACACACACACACACACACACACACACACACACACACACACACACACACACTCACTCACACACACACACACACACACACACACACACACACACACACACACACACAC